TATATAAACACAGGTCAATAAATAAATCTAGGTTGTGAGGAGTGTAGCAGTGTGGCTAACCAAAGAGGTGAAAGAGGCAATAATATATATCTGTACAGAATGTTATAATTATAATATTTTTATTTGTGATAAAGAAAGGTCTTCACCTGTTGGATTCAGCTACCTTTCATTAACTTCTCTTCTCTCTGGGTTTCAACAGTCTGCAGGGCCGTGAAGGCAGCATCATTCTTGAAAACATCTCTAATTAGATTTTTACTTTTTCATCCACACAAAACAATAACTAATGCTCCAGTATATCAATGTTGTTAATTCATTTTCTTCTGTTTTTTTTTTATTGCTTGTGACTAACACTCCTGTGCAAAAATACAAGTGGGGCAAATTTTCATATATTGTATCAACACAAATTATTTTTGGTACATTTTCAATAAAAAAGACTTTAGCTTAACTGTTATTTAAAGTCATTTGTGCACAAAGTTATGGAGGTTGTGTTGTAAAAACAGTTTGGTTAATTAAATCCCATGAACACTTCCTGCACCCACCTGAAACTGGAGCMGTTTTAATTTTAACAGCTGAATTTAAACAGACAGGTACACGGCTTTCTGGAGTCTGTTTCTAATTTGTTTTTACTTTAAGTAATAATTCTGCCATAATACTCCAGATTAACAAAGTTATATGAGAAAAATGAGGTATAGTGAAGTAATTCTAAAAGTATAAAAGTCAAAAAGAAAAGATGAACCCTGAGACTGGTTTGACCTCACAGACACCAGATGACATGAAGCAGCTCTGACCACTGACCTGCACARCAAACACTGTGATTCCACAACTTCCTCCCTTATTAGTGAAAACATCACAGTTTTTTTATTTCTGCTGATTAAATAAATCATTTGTCACAGAAATCCTTTTACTGCATCCATTACTTATTTTTAAAGCTACTGTTGTAACGTCTTCAGTTGTTTTTTATACAGAAAAACTCATTTTAGATCTATTAAACATTAGTTATTGCTGTTTTAGGTGATATCTGCCTTAAATAACAACAGGCCTAGAATTAGTATAAATTTACTTTTTTAAAAGTTTCTATTGTGCAGGTGTAAAATCAGACACTGTGCGCTCAAATCCATTCTGAATTCTGATTGGATAATTACTGTGAGGAGGAGCAAAGCACAGGTCTGTCAGAAAACGATGTCACAACACTTAATGTTGACACACAGGCTGAAACATCACAACATGATGACTGAAGGGCACGTATCAAAGTCATCTGTGWATTTACATGTAACGGTTTGATGTGTTTTATTTATGATGACTCAGCAGTTTCGTTGCTTCTGTCACTTCTAGGTGAAAATACATCTTGTTTAATTTAAACTGTAAAACTTCAACAGTATAATCACACTGTGTTTTAAAGTAGTTTTGTACAGATGGGTCAAAGCTTGTGCAGGTTCTTTAAACTCGTCTCTGTTGTGTGTTTTAGGAGCCCATCATTTTCTCAGGTCACAGACTGAGTAAAGAAGACGACTCCATCTGGTTCAGATCTGCTGAACTGGAGGATAATGGATTCTACACGTGTGTTCTGAGGTAGTGTGTCTTCACGGTTCTACAGAGCTGTTGTAAGTCCATCCTGACCAGGAAGTGTCTCTGCCCTGCRGTAACATGCTGGAGCTCCAGTCCAGTATGCTCCAGGTCCTTTCTGGGTCAGATACAAGCCTTGTTCATAATGTTTTCTGAGGATGACATGAAGCTGCTCCTCTCTGCAGCTGGACTCTGGGTCAAAGAGACACAGATTTAAAAATAAAACATTTTATTTTAAACTTTCAGCTCTGCTCGGAGCACATTAGCTTTAATGGACTAAAGGTTTTCACAGTTTATTTCTTTTAACACAGATCAGTCAGTAGTTCTTCAGCAAGCTCAATGATCTACATCAGGGGTGTCCAAAGTGTGGTCCGGGGGCCATTTGTGGCCCCTGAACTGATTCTGTGTGGCCCCTGAAGAATTATACTAATTTGTTTACAAATTTGTCCCCCTGGCACAGGAGTAGATGGAGACTTTTTATATTTAATTAAAACAAAATGATCACAGACAAAGTAAAATCTTCTTCCAATAAAAATATTGACAACAACACCAGTTTTCTGTCTTTAAATAACCAGGCTCAGCTTTTTCCACATCTGTCTGGTGACTTCTGCTGAAAAGCTGATTTTGTTGCCCTCCAATTTGCTTTTATTTAACGTATTAAAATTGTCTGAATACAAGCATTTTCAACAAAAGACTGACATAAATCCTGATTTTTTTGATCAGGTTTGGCTAAACTGGGTTCTTTATTC